ACCACATCCCCTGTGCCCATCTGTTTGTGTTTGGAACCAAAGGGGTTCAGGTTAAAAAAAAAAAAAAAAAAGGCAAAAAGAAAGCTGAGGTTTGTTTTTTGAGCACTTTTCTTTGTTCTATACTGCTGCCTGTCCTGTCAGCATTGTGTTCTCCCAGCTGGAGAAGATCTGAATTTCTGCTGGAGACCCCTATTTGTGACAAATCTCTTTGGCCTCTTTTCCTGCAGTGCAAAGAGAAGTCAAACCAAGCTCTCACAGTTGCCCCAGCACCTGGCCAGCCCCACAGTGAACCAAAGGATTTCTGGTTTGGAGATAAAGCTCCCTGATCTCTGCTCCACGCTGCTCCAGCTCTGAGGGAGCAGATGCCATGAGGTTCATTCAGACCCTGTGTGAGGCTCTGGGCTCATCCCTGTTTGCTCAGAGCTGAAGCTCCCAAAACCTTCCAGAACCCAGCCCCCTTCTCTGGGAGAGGGAGTGACATCACAGAGCCATGGGATTGTTAAGGTGGGACAAGACCTCTTCGATCAAGTTCAACCATCAACACAGCACCACTCCCATGTTCCTCGCTAAAACATGTCCCCAGGTGCCACAGCCACACATTTTTTGAACCCTTCCAGGAGTGGTGACTCCACCATTTCCCTGGGCACCCTGTGCCAGTGCTGGGCAACCTTTCCCATGAAGAATTTTTCCCTAATATCCAATCTAAACCTCCCCTGGTGCAACTTGAGGTCATTTCCTTCTGTCATTTGTTACTTGGGAGAAGAGACCAACCCCCACCTGGATACAACCTCCTTTCAGATCCCTTTGCCCCTTCAAGGAGAGGGGGAAACTGAGGCACTCCACGGGCTTGAAGCTTTGCTCAGGGCCATTTTCCACCCCGTGCCCACCAGTGGAATCAGCTCATCCCACCTTTGCACCAGGGAAACCTGTCCCCTCCTGGCCAACCACACCCAGGTTCCCCCTCTCCATCCCTTCCTACACCTCCCTCTGAGCCCATTAATGCTCCTCGGTCCCCTTCCACCCCTGGGAGATGATTTGACAAGGAGAAAAAGAGAGAAACTGGTGGGTTTTGTGCCGATTTTTTCCCCCCTAACCTTGCTTACAGCCGCCGTGCTGGCTCTGAAAGCCCCTGGCTGTCTTTTGTGATTTCAACAAATCACCAGCACTTAAGCAAAGTGGGCAGAAAATTACAGGTTGTATTGCAAGTGAATGGAGAGGGAGAGCACGCTGGGGCCGAAAAACAGAGGTTTGCGGGTATAATAGAGAAAGCAGGGGCTGACAGGCTGTGGAAGCCTGCAAAGCCATCAGGTATTAGTTAAATGCTTCGCGGGGTTCACGCTGCGAGGCATAATCGCAGTTCCTGAGCAGCAGCCATTTGATTGTCTCTATTATGTCCCCTCTGAAATGATTTGGGAGATGTTTTGCTCGGAGCTGTCAAGGTTAAGTCAAGGAAAACGCGTTCCCTCTGACACGAGGATCCCGGGGGGCAGAAAGCCTCGGCAGAATCCTCTGGGGAGGAGGGTGGGATGCCTCTGCTTATGGAGCTCTCTCCTCCAGGTTTCCCTGCCCAAGGTTCCTCCTTGTCTTTGCTCCTTGTGTTTTTTTTTCTGCAGCCATGTCAGAGCTGCCTCAGGGATGGGATTGTTTGGATTTCGTGCCTGGTGTGTGGAGGGATCTGTGTGCTCAACCCGTCCCACCGTGTCTGGCGTCCCCTCCTTGGCACTTCTGGGCTCCTTGGTTGGGTTTGGAGGGTGTGAAATGAGCTGGGGAGGGGTTGAGGGAGGAGAAGACCCCACTGTGGGTGAGCCCAACTCCTTTTTGGCCAACAGAGCATCCTCCAGCCATGGGAGACCTCAATCCATCTCTCCCGTGGTTGGTCCTTGCACTGCCAGGGTCCTCTGTGCCCCAGGAGGAGCAGGACAGGCCCAGGAATAAATTCTGTCCTTTGGGGACACCATGCAGAGGCAGGGGTGGAAATGTCCCCAATCCCCACAGACCACAGCCAAGCCCAGAGAGCTGGGAAGGACATGATGGAAAAGCAGCATTAAACCAATGCTTGGATCTTAGAACCTGGGGGAAAAGGGATTTTGAAGCACAAAGAAAATGCCTCACCCACGGCTGATATGGGTGGGGGTCAGAGCCGTGCCCCTGGCTGTCCCCCGTGCCTGGCTGCCTGTGGGGACATGGGGACATGGGGACAGCCACTGCCAGCCTGCCTGGGAAAGCAGCGCCCAGGGGATGGGGAATGGGAAAAAGATCCTGCACGGAGGGTTTGATGGCTGCCGTAAATAGATCTGAGCAGCGTCCCCATCGATCGCTGCTGTGCGGAGCTGTAATTAGATTGAGCTGGGGGAGAGGGTGTTGGGCTGCATCAGCAGAAAGGGAAATTAATAAATAAACAAACGAGCACAGGAAATGTGGGATGCGGCCACCGGCGGCAGCACACGCCAAAAATAACCCAAAATAGCAGGAGGGTTAGGGGTGAGGAGCAGGGTGTCACCTGTGCCTGACAATGGCACTGGCTTTACTGCAGGAGCCCGTTTTACCAGCAAGGCCCTGATGGTTTGTGTTTGCCTCAGAGCTCAGAGTTATTAATGGGTTGTAATAATCACTCCTAAAAAAGGAATGGGAGGTTGGAAAGCTGAAATGCTGAATCTCGGGCTGGATGTCCAGCACTGTGGTGGGAATGGGGGCCAGCAGGCAGGAGAGCAAGAGGACGGACTGGATTGCCAGGGTGACAGCTGGGTGACATCCACAGGTCCCGTGGGGACATGGGAGACATTCCAAGTGCTGTCCTGCAGGGCAGAAGCCCAGAGCCCACCTTGGACACAGCAGGAGCTGAGCATGCCGGGTGTGCAGGGAGGGCGTGGGGAGGGCGGGCAAGGGGCACAAGCGTGGGGGGAATTTTTCTGTTTGTTGTTTGGCTTGGGGGGATGCTTGGGAGGGGTCTTTTTTTAAATTCATGTCTGGGAAAAAAAAAAAGTCAAATTTTCTATAAAGGCTTTTTTTGTTTGTTCTTTTTGCAAGCATCTGATGGTCATAGGGTAGGTTTCCACATTCTCTGCTGGCTGTTTGAGTAAGGTACCCCTGGGACAGGGTCCCCTGGCATCACTCAGAGTGTCCCTCTGTCCCTAAGGATGGTGGTGTGCAGCCAAGCCTGCCTGGGGGGGGAAGGGGAGGGGAAGGTTCTCCACTGGCTTTACCAGGGGTGGCTGATTTGGACTCAGAGTGCTTGGCTGTGTCCAGCTCGGTGCCTCCCATTCCTTGCCCAGTGGGAGCAGAGCTGGTGGCTCCCAGCACCTTGTGGGGACAGGGCGAGGACCAAGCCCAGCAGCTGGGACACAGAGCTAAATCTGCTGGATAAATTGTCTGCTTCAGTGAGCTCCAGATTTGCCCAGCTCTGGTGGAAGGGTAGATATCATCCTTCTGTCTCAGCTCGAGGTGCTGTGAAAAAGCTTCGTAGTGGAGGCAGCCGAGGAACTGCAGGCAGAGGAGACTGCTCGTTTTTCAGTGAGGAAATAATTACTCCAAACACCCTCCCAGTACTTCTGGGCTATGCAGTGATTCCCCTTTGGCTCTGGAGGTGTGTTTGGAGAGCAGGAAGGGGTTTAGCCCAAGGGGAATTCCTGTTCTGTGCTGTCCCATCCCTGCAGCATTTCAGCCTTGGCCTCTGGCCCCTCTGGGCTCTGCGCTTGGTGCTTGGAACTTTGACCCTCCAGGCCAAGGAGGCTCCTGCAAGTGCCTGAGAAATCTGTCACCCAGACAGCAAATGTCTTAAAGGATCTGTGCCTTCCCTGCTAAATCCTTCAGAAGATCTGAACCAAGAAACCCCAAAAGCTGAAAACTGCTGCTGCCCTGGGCAAGAGCAGCACTTGCTTTGGGAAGCCCTTAGCCCACAGTTTGCTTTCTCTTTTCTGAGCTCCTCAGGGGGAAATGCTTTGTCCCCAGGCGTGTAGGGTCAGATCCATGCCCTGCCTTGCCCTTGGCATCTCAGGTTCCTGCAGTTCTGTGTCTGGTTGAATCACGAGCAGCCAAGTCCCTGAGCACCCAGATCAAACCTCAACAACTTCAGGGTGGGCCCTACTTTGAGCAGGGACTGGATCAGCCACCTCCACCATTTTATAGTTTATAGTTCATAGTTTATAGCAAAGGTCCCCTTGTCTCACCTCTTCCACCAACAGCGTGCTTGACATCCCCACAATTAAAATTCATATCTTTATTTATTTTACTTACTTCCTTCTCTGCCCTCATGCATCATGCTGGGGTCATGGGGGCATTCCTGGCTTCCCCACGTGGCAGCCCCTCTGTGCTGACCTTTGGCTCAAGCCAAACCTGTAGGGAAGGCTTTTAATTCAATGCTGACAAATGTGCCAGGGGATCTGGTAGCAAAGGCACACAGGGGACACAGAATTTCCTGGAGCCTCCCTGAGGGAAAATCCTTTCCCTGAGCAGGTGGATCCATGATTGGTCCTTCCAAGCTGATGCTGTGGGATTAAGGCTGCAGAGTGACCTTTCCATCATGCCCCTGTCCCCGGCTCTTCCCTGCATTTCCCAGCTGGCAGCTGGACGTGGTGACACCGGTTCCCTGAGTCCTCCAGGGAGATGCACAGATGTGATGAGGAGGGGAGTGAAACCATGCTGAGGGAGGCCGAAGGATAACCCCCAAAATTTAGGGATGAATCCCAATAGCCAGTCTCTGCGAGCAGAGCAGTCCTCCAAGGGTTTCCTCAGCCTCTAGTGCCAGGGTCAGCTGGAGATGCTGAGACTTTTCCTGGGCTTCCCCCAGGCTTTTGTCACACTGGTGTCACAAGAGGTCATTGTCCCTTCTCTGCAGGCGCTCAGGAGGCGTGGGGAGGAAGAGGAGGGAGTGGTGGGACACGAGCCAGCGAGTTCCCTGGAGGGAAGGGCCCAGATTTTGGGAGGCAGCCGGGCAAGCTGCAAGCGGGCCAGGGTGGGGAGCCCCAATTAATGGCCCTGTTCTCTCTTTTGAACGTCTCCAGCCTGCAAACGCAAGGAGCAGGAGCAGCAGAAGGACCGGAGCCTGCAGCCCAAGAAGCAGCGCCTGGTCTTCACGGACCTGCAGCGCCGCACCCTGATCGCCATCTTCAAGGAGAACAAGCGCCCGTCCAAGGAGATGCAGATGACCATCTCCCAGCAGCTGGGCCTGGAGCTCAACACCGTCAGCAACTTCTTCATGAACGCCCGCCGGCGGTGCATGAACCGCTGGCAGGAGGAGCCAGGAGCCAACCCCGGGGTCCCCTCGTCGTCTACAAGCACTTTCTCCAAAGCATGATGTCCCCCAGCCCTCCCTGCCCCTTCCTGGATGTCCCCCTCATGACAAAGCCAACCCCAGACTCACACGCATGGCCTGACCGGGGTGGGTGCTTTTGGGGTGGGTCCATTGTCCTCCCAAACCCTCAGCTGGGTGTCACCCATGGGCCACCTCCTGCTGCCACCTCCTGCTGCCACGTCCTGCCAGCTCGTGGAGCAGGGACAGGGTTGGTGACCAGGTCAGCTCCGTCCTGGGAGGGCTCAGAGGAAACCCATGGGGAGCAGGGGTGCCATAGGATGGAGGGAGGAGCCAGGCTCTGTTTGGAAGGAAGCATCCCTGGTCCTTGGGGATCACAGAGCTTTGTCTTCCCCTGCCCATGAAGGTTTTTGGGCAGAGGGTCCCGTCCTGACCTCTTGACCAACCTTGATCTATCACAGCCATCCTTACGGCTCCCACGGGGTGGGGGGTAGAGCTGGGGTGACACAAGAAGTGGCGTCACAGGCTGGGCTCTGGCACAACCCCCCTGCACCAGGGCCACACCTGCCGTGGTTCAAAGGGGACTGAGCAGGGAAAGTGCTCCCGGTGCTCCTGGAGGGCCCCCGGGCTCCTGCCAGGGCCCTGATTTCTGGAGGCTTTCCCCTGCTGAGGTGCAGTGGGTTCCCCAAGGCAGCCAGACCCTCTGTGCCAGCACCACATGGCACTTCTGTCCCTTGAGGGTTTTGGAAACCTGGCTGAGGACATTCCTGTACCCCCCGTTTCCTCTATGGGCATCTTCCTCTGACCCCCCCCCGGACACTCCAGGAGCACCCACACCCCAGGCCCCTCCTGCACTCACAGCCCCCCACCCACGAGAGCACCCCGGTCCCAGATCCCTCCCAGAGAAGCTCCATGGCAAAGGAGTCCCCTCCTGCCTCCAGGGACCCGAGCACCCCCATCCCGAGGGGACCCCGGCTGCTCCGCGTCGCCTGGCGCCCCAGCAGGTCAAAGAAGCACATTTTAGCTACAGGAATCGGGTATTTAAAAATAACAATTGTTCCAAAGGAGACGGGAGCAGAGACTTGGAGCGAAGGATCTGATCTTTCCTGGTGACTGGCTCCACCTTTCACTTCTGGATTTCTGGTTCACTTTTCAGCTGAGGAATGGACACAGACAAAGCAGATTTGTTGGCTTTGTGTCTCGCCCCATCCACCCCTCGACACACACTCTTGTCCCCTCCCATCCCCCTCTTCATCTCTGTTACCAAAGAAATTACAAAACCAAAAACGCAACAACGACGACAACCAAAAAAAATTCCCTCCTGGGAACCAACGTCGGTGCACGGTGGGAAAAGAAAAATCCAAGGGATCTGGTGGCGAAATCCAGCCCTGGGTGTGAGAAGGGGGAAAACTCCCCAACGAGATTGAAAGGGAAAGAAAAACAACTCGTCCCCCCCCAAAAAAAGGAATAACAACAGAAACCACAACCAAACAAGCTCAGCAAAGACCGGCAACTTACCAAAAAGACACCAGATTTTTTTTTTTTTTTGTGCCAATTAACAACCTGCCTTAAACGCGAATTTCTGGAGCAATGGTACTTAGCTTCAAAGGGATCGTTTCCTCCGAGCTCTCGATGGTGACTTGTGCCATATAAAAAAGCAATCACGAGGCCAAACCCTTACAATCAGCCCTCTCCCAGCTCCCCCGGGGGCTCCTTGCCAGCCCAGGATGTCCTCGGGAGGAGCAGGAGGTGCCTGGGGACAGGGAAGGGCTGGGAGAGGCTTGGGGATGAAGGGGGAGGCAAGGTCCCCTTCTTCCCCCACCATTTAGGGAAAAAAAATCCTCCAAAACCAACCATCAACCAAAAAAAGCAAACAAAAAAAAAAGGGACTCTTGAATTTATGCGGGTAAAAAGTACCATCTGTGTTCTAGCGCTATGGTTTCTTCGATTCACTTTACTTTGAGAGTGATCAGTTGTGTCACAGGAAGGCACCTTGTTGAAAAGAAGGAAAAAAAAAAA